TAGATATCGCTATACTGTGTACACCATATATTTTGTAAAAAAAACAGTAGCTTTTTTTGTTAATGTAAATTTCCATAAATTAATACTTTGTATCATTCAGTGGTATTCCTCGTAAAGGAACGATTAACTTTCTTTACATAAAATGAACAAAAATTAAATAAAACAAAACAACTATTTTTATAAATATTATTCAGTACATTGCAGAATTGGCTGGCAAATAAGTAACATAAATGTTAATATTGCGTAAAGGCTTGATAAAATATCACGATCAGTTCTATTCAATAAAAAAAAATCATCAGTGTTTAATTTCTAATGTATTCTTATGGACAATATTTTACATAATATCTCGTTTTCTGTAGAAATTTTAAGAATTTCACTATATTTCCCGTCGTTCTACCACTTCCCAGTCGTTCACAATATTGACGCAAAGAATCGCCTTACGTAATTAAATATTAGTGATTAAATTATAGATTTCTGTAAATATGTACCGAAAGGTAGTTTTGTTATTAAGCTTGTTTTGGTCCCTAACTGACAAATTGTATGGTTTTTTTTTAAGTGAGCTACAAAACTTTCGCATTAGTAACAAAGTTTAGTGTGCAATAATGATGAGTCCTATTTGTTAAACTTAACTGAACAACATGAATATTTATTTTTAAGATAACAACTAAATAATTTGAACTGTTATGTGAATACTGAAATAAAAGGGACAGAGTAGTCGTGTTATTAATTGTAATTATAATTTCAAAACTGCAAAGGAAAGGTGTCAGGACTTAGTTAATGAGGAAAAATGTTTTTTAGTTTATATGAAAGTAGTGTTTTCTTTCATTAGGCGAAGATATTAATTGGTTTCTTTCACACAAATGTAAATTTATATAATATAATGAATATGTTTTTACTAAGACTACTGTAGTTGGATTGGTAGGTTTAACAGTTGTACGATTCTCTAAATATAAATATTATTTTTAATATCTAGTTATATTGTGGTATAAACACTCATTAACTGAATTAAATTTGAGAGGTAAAAGTATATTACGTTACTAGTCCTGAAAATAGATGTTTACCGGACGACAGTGGTCGTGCCCTTGCGAGACGAAGTGGAGTACGGGATTACCATGATACGAGTCTGGTAAACAGATTTTGGACGAGTGACGTACGATATTTTACGCCATACTACTAAGTCCGTAAAAGTCCTTATATATTACCACCGACTAAAGGACCAAAAATCACTAGTCATAGCCTCTAAAAGAGGTTATGTTTTTGTTTCAAAACTAACCACTCCCACTCATTTGCCAAATACAATTTATAATCAGCTGGTTGGTGTCCAGTAAAACTCATTACAGTACAGTAGTACGTAATGAAACCCAGTTTGATTAAGCTGGCGGCAAAAGGCTGTTTTCTGGACTAAATCCTTGCGTGGGAAGTTCGTCAAAACAGTGTAGTGTGGCGTAAAAGTTGTATTTGTTATGTTTGCTCCTTAAGGCTTATGCCTAAATATAGAACTTTTTTTGTTAAAAGTATGTAAATATTTTATTTTAACAATTAACTGAATTAGAAATACTTTTAGGATCAAACGAAAAGTAATTATATACCTCACTGTATTAATTCTTTAAAATAAGTAAGTTATAAAAACAAAGATAAATATTGTCGTTTTATTAATAAACCATTTTTTTACATGGGCACTTCAATTTGAATCAATTGGTTTTTTAATTCAATTTAATTACTAATTTAGCTTGACTTTTTACCATGTAAACAATCTTTCAACAAGCTTTTTGTGGCATATTTTGATTAATATAAAATGTAACTGGTTTAAAGTGGCTGATACATCTCTAAATGACTTACATAGATACAGCTATAATAATTTAGATTAACAATTTAAACATGAAATTATTTAATCTTTTCGTAAATTTAGACAGAAAGTAATTTTTAAGTGTTTTCAATATTAATATAAATATATCGGTTTATATTTTTAATCATATGAGTCCCTCACTTGTCATTTCCAAGTAATTATCTATATAAATCTTTGTTACTCTTGTTTGTTTTCCAAGATGTTAGTGGTTGAGGTATGTTATTGACATCTTGTTTATAAAGTTTGCAACTATGGTGAACTCTCAGTTTCTCTTGGGGGCTGTTCCTAATAACGTGTCAGGATCAGGCAAAGGTTTGTTTTATTTTTTAAGTGTAAGTCCTGAGTTTTGGCATCTAATGCAAATATATGAATATTGGCGACTTTTACAAATACAAGTTTTCATTTAATAAAATCGATACAGCCCTACAAATGAATGGGGATGAAATTATTTTAAAACAACATTTAGTTTTAGAGAAGTATCGTGGTTAGATCGTACGTTTGTTTGGTGGAAGATGTATTACAATTATTTAGAATATACAAAACCAATAAAAATGCAAAAATTTTATATATAATATATAATGTAAACTTGATCTATTCGTTATTATAAACCGTTCTCAAAATAAAATACATGTACAGTATAAATACTCAGAATTTTACATTATATGCATTACATACTATTTGTTTTTGTATTGCAGAGGACATCGCAAAACCTGGATCTAAATTAGAATATAGAATTTAAACTTCAAAGTATTTATTCTACAGAGTTCTCAGTAAATACAAAAGTTAAATCCGATCTTATATTTTAACAGAGCAACGTCGCACTGGTAGAGTCGTGAAACAGTATTAACCATAGAGACAAATAGTCTTGATATTTGGCGCGGTCTCCAATCTCGGCATCGTGATTTACACTCCACACCCGCGAATGTGCGGTAAGTACTGTAACTGGTGCAGATATGTTCTCATGTTGTATTGATATATAATGTGATAGTGACTTTGCGTTTTGTGTAACAACGCTGTACTTCAAACAACGTATTTTGAAAGTATAATGGTTTTGTTTAATTTCTTACTACGTCGTTATTATCAATAATAAGTATAATACCCTCGCCTCAGCAAACCTGCCGACTAAGCAAATATCCATTTGTCTGAATTCATTTTAAATTTAATCTATTTAAATAACATTTGCTTTAGCGAGTACAAATACACTAATAGCAGATTATGTTGTTTAGCCTTGTACAATTCGGCTCAGGTTATGTTATTGTCGTAGCTCTATTTAAAAAAAAACATCGTGAGTTTTTTTCCATTAAATTAAAATATACAATATATTTTTGTTTTATTATAAATATTTGTACGAGTGTAAAAGCTATGGTTAAAATGTGTTAATCATTTTAATATACTAGTGCATCAGAAAATACTTACCGCAAGCCTACACTACACCTATACTCTCCCGAAACCAAGAATTCAGGAAAGAAACAGGGGATAAGCACATTTATTGTGTCATAAATAAGACCAAAAAAATTATATACGCATAGTCCTGATTCACACCAAAAACCTAGTTGATATGCATGGTAATTGGTAAGTTTGGATATTTATTTTATTATTTGTGTCATTCAACGCCAATTACATACGTTTTATTGATTAAGTAATATCAAATTATTGGAATTATGATTTAATCTAATTATATCTTTACATGTATAAAAGTGAAAATTAAGTTCCGGGCCACTTAAATTTCAAAATAATAATATAGAGCAAAAAACTTTCACGAACTTGGCATATCACGTTTCCTGGTGACATTGTCCAAGCTTACATCCTACAAGCTTAACACATTATAAATATATGGATTGTAAGTAAATAACTTTCATTATAATTTCTAACGGGTTGAGTCAACTGTTGTATTAAACCATTTATCTAAAGGTGTTATAAACTTGATCAATCCATTCATTGCCAAAACCATTTTTAAAACTTAAACTTTAACACCCTATTGATAAAAATCAATAGAACTCCATGAACAACATAGTGAATGAACCAAATATATTTAAAGAAATATTCTAAAGATATCACTCCTTTGCTTATCGCCCTTATTTCTATGCTTTGTAGAAAGTGTCAGGATTTATTGGTACAAACAATCAGGTATAAAAACCTCTTAGCAGAGACGTAAGGATCAATCAGTGCTAAGAGGATTAACAGCGTCTTGTCTATTACTGCCGTTGAGACCTTCGTCTGTTTCTTCGTCTTTGTAGAGATCACTTTATTACCCAATAAAATTAAAGCTTGAGATATCCTGATAAGGGGTATAATTCGAACACTCAGAAAGCAAACTATTCGTATTGAATATTGAACATTACACAACTTAATACTTATACCTGTAAAGGTTAAGGCATATGTTAAAATTAAATTGGTATTTGTAAAACAAAATGTTGGCTTTATTTATTTAACATTAAACTTTTTTATCATTAAAATATTACTTAATTTACTTAAACATTAATATTATAATTATGAAATACATAAAGGTTTTAGATGATTATCGAAAGTATAATAACTTCTGTTGTACACAATTATTGTTTAATTGGTAGTTGAAATGTTCGCCTCTTTAAAATGTTATTTTCTAATCATCTTTGTTTACCCTTCTTAACCCTTTTAACAAACACCATTCCCTATTAAAACTTCTTTTAAATAGTTTTATCAATAGATTTTAAACTTAGATTTAAAATCTTCGTCCTGCTTTTGTAAAAGTATGAAAACAGCTTTGCTGTGTCGACATCACACAAGGTTGCGTATTTTAACGGAACTTATGAGGAAACGATGTGTATTGAATAAGATGATGGATTGGTTATTGGTTATGCTCATTAGAGAGGACTATTTTCCCAATCATCATTTTCACTATAATTTTCCCAATAAATGGACAGCTAGTTCCAATTTCGAACTATTTAAGAGGGATAGACTTTTCCTCAGGATAGAACCTGAATCCTCTAGATTACTAAGCGAACTTTATGCTCACTAGGCTGTCCAGCTATGTGAAAAACGTAAATAACTCCTAAAAATAAAAATAATATATTTGTTTATTTATAATTATTGAGCAATACTAGTAAAATTCGTTCGGACAAATGTAAACTCTTTTATTTTATTTTAATTAGCAATAATTAATTGTTATCAAAATCACTATATGACTTTCTTTAATCTTAGGAAGTTTAAAAATACGCAGCTTATTTGCATGATATTATTGATGGACAGTCCCAATATGAAGAGTCGCATGTGGCCGTCTCTAAACGATGTGAGCAGCAGCGCTATAGATACAATTTCCAGCACAAGCCATGGTACAAGCATCTGTGCGTTCTCTAACAACAATCCCAGCATCAGCACCAAGTACACCAGGGTCGAGATCGTTCCAAGCATTAGCTGTGAAAAATAAAACTATCGCTTAATTTATCATTTTAATTTGTTGTATTTGTTTGGCAAAGTCAAAATATACACTTTATGACATATATGACTTTACTAATGGTTAGTATATCTATATTAAAAAATAGAGTTGGAAAGCTTACTGTTAAAAAAGTATGTTCCACTAATTGCGCAATGTTACCTATTACTTATAATATTTACCTATTACTAATCCCATCTCCCCTTAGAATAACCAGGATTGTTCCCAATCGCATCTAATTGGGTTGAAGATACGAATTTTCTGAAGCTATTAATTTCATATTTTTATACTAAAAAAAACTAATACACCTCCTTGATGGAAAACTTTTTTTATGTTAGCTTAGACATTCCATCCCCATGTTAAAGTTGTAGCTAAGTTTTTAATACATGTTTTCTTAGTTGATGTGAGCCACTACAGATTGCGCTGATCTAAATAACTGCTTTCTGCCGATTACATGATGGTTTTTACCAAGTCAAACTGATGGAATTACTTATTATGAGCCATAGCAACTGTTGTGACCCAGCAACTATGTCAGTAACAAAAAAAGGTACAAAATAGAGTTTTAGAGACTAGCGAAAACTGTGACTGTTTCACATAACTACATTCTTTTTTAGTAAAAAGTTAGCGACAGCTGATCCATATACTGTAGATGGGATGTCTTCTTCTGGACAATTCTTCTGGATGTGAATTCTGTCGAATACACAATGTCGTTTACCAAGTCAAACTAATGGAAAGATTTATATCCATTATATAAATATATTGGGTTTTTGTAGAAACTTAACAATAAACTTACTTGCAGATCGCGGTAAAGTCGCGGTGCTTTCACCTGGTCAGTGTAGTACGGAGCTATAAGGTAGTAGATGTCGTAGAGCGATGCAACAAATCCAAGAAACGCAAGACACTCACCATACAGAATGCTGCCAAAAGTGTGCAAATTGCATTGTTCACATGCAGCTCCAGATGCAAGCTTGACCAAGGCGAAGTAATCAACTTGAAACGGGATACGCCAAAACTCAAACAAAAGTGACGTACAATATTGATAATATCCCATGGCACTTAAATATGATAAGAATGTTATGACAGATAATTTTAATACAAACAATGCAAATTTTGGTTGCTATGTAAACGTAAAAAACCTCTACCTAAAATAAAAGTAATGAAATCGTATTAAAACTATTTATTTCCCTACCTTGTTCATATAAACACAGGGGGGGGGGGGCAGTAATAAAGATAGAGCTACTGAACATAAAAAACAACTGGCTATAAAACCATATGAAACAATTTATTTAGGGATTTCCACAAGGACTACTTGCAATTTGAATAAAAATTTAATTACAACAAATAACTAATTGAAATAAGAAATAATTACAATAGACATAAGGATACCAATGAAAAAAATAAAGATAAAATTAATAGCCTGAAAATATCCTGAAATACATAATCGTATTTATATAAAGTAAAAAAAGCAATAACGTTTTTATTATAAATTTGTTCAAAGCTTATATTTGAGTGAAAACGTTGATGGAAAATAAAAATAAAAATGTATGATGGACGTACTAAAAGGGAGGTATAAAGTAGAAAAGTTGTCTTTTTCATGTAAACAATTGAAACAGTATACTGTACACAGAAAACTGCAAATATAAAATGGTAATTAGTATAATTTACCTTTTTAGGTAGCCTAAGGTGTCAACAGTTGTATTCTTCAGTAATTATGGAAAATCTCCAGCTGCGTCATACAGCTAAGGCTAAATCAGCTCACATTGAGAGTGTTTGTCACATATTCAAATAAATCAAAGGACACGAATATGAATACGGACACGACAACAGACACATACTATTTACGCAGTTAACCGACATTGATGGACTCAGCCGAATCACACGAAATTAATTGAATGAACAACAGCAATACGCACAAAGGTTGAGGCCTACTCGATTACTTCTTTATTTTATTTTAATATGTGACAATCACTCTCAATGTGATCTGTTCCCTAAGAAGCTAATCCCTTCAGTTATAAAACCATCTAATATTAGCAGTATAAAAGACCTTACATTTACGCATAATTTCCTGACAGAGAATAGGATTGAAGATTTTGAATGCAGTTTTAAATATTCTAAAACTCATCCTAAAGATTTAAATGGGTCAGGCCCATAGCTTTATGTAATTGTGATATCAATTTAGATCATCATGTCAGTGAAAAACCTCTATTATAAAACTGTCATGCCGCTTCATTTGTACACAAAAATATGGGTTATTGATTGGACTCTGAAATTGATCCAAAAACTTTGTTCCTATTGACTTAATTTCAATATAGCGACTTATATATAAACATAAAAATATGTAGAATTCAGATGATTACTAATGAACTAAATTTTATATTATTACACATTGTATTTATGTAAATCTAAAAAAAAAAAATGCATTGAGGCAAACTTAAGTAAACGAAGAACAATCACATTTAACAGAGTGTTACGAAACAAAACCATGTATAAAATATTTTAGTGTTTCCATGTTAAAATGACCCAATTTTCGCTTTGACATGACTCTGCACTCAGACAGAATTAACAATAATTACTCCACCAGGAAAGGGTGAGATCCATGTACGCTTATTAGGGTTTATATACTCGAGGGTGGTTTTCACTGTAAGCAATGCTTACTGTGATGAAGTTTACTTCAGAACAGGAAAGTCATTATGAAACTTTATTACTAGAACGGTTAAGTAGTATCTTAAACTATTGATTACAAATTAATTACAAGTTATGTGCGTTCTAAGTAAAATTAATTTTAATACATTTTATAGATGCATATATTATATTGAACTTTCTCGTATAATATAATTGTATTATTGTTTATTTAAATCGTTTACGGGTTAATAAATGGTACTGACAGAATCACCGGTAATCTGGTATTGAATTGTGTTACTAATTTCAGTTTCAAGCTTTTAAATGGAATGGTCTACACTTTGCAGAGAAATTTGCAAATTCACGGAGTTAATTTCAATTTTTAACTGAGTTACCCACCAAAAAAACATTTGCTTAGTAACTGGGGGCTACAGATTATTTAATATTTCATAAGATATTAAAAATCACGTGACTTAAATAGTACATAACCAAAGCTGAATATTTTTTTAATAGTTTGAATGTTAAAGGTGCCAAGAACTAGAGAAAAGACGATTTACAAATTGAGTTCGTAAATTTAAAACTTTGTTAATGAGGTGAGTTTATGATACAGTCTTGTGCAAACAATGTAGTATTGATTTGACCAAAAACAAAGGACCATGTTTTGACAGCCTAATTAGTTGTTGGCCCACAATCAATGCCAACAATGTTAGTGTTAGATCGCCTTTTAATAGGTTTTTACGTGATTGTACATCTAGTAACACTATCAAAAGAGTTCAGATACCAGGCAAATTTTAACCAGGCTGCTAATATTCAACGTTGAATAATAATTTGTGTTTAGTCAAAACTACATTAAATTAAAAAAATTTAAAAAATACTCATATATGGCAAAGTATAAAGCAGCTTGCACTAAAATCTTAAATAATTAAAACTACACTTATTTTATAAACTTTAAGAATTTAGTATTGATTTTAACCAACATTTTCCTTTCAACAGTTTGTTTTGATTATTTCTTTATGTACTCACAAAGCAATTGCACATTATAATCATAAAACATTGAACTTTTAAAGCGTTTACCTAAATCATAGGCAAAGAATATAAAATACTAGTACTGTATTTGTATTTTAAAAGCTCATTATAGCAACTCATCTTTTACATTGTTTTATGTTTTATCATACCTTATTGCTTTGTTGAATGTTACCCCAAAGGTTTAAACTGTGAATAACAGTATAAACTGTAAATCATTGATGAAAAAGTCGGACTGCCAAAGGGTTTTTTATCAAGAGAGCCAATACTTCATTGAATAATCTGTTTACGGACATGTTTGCAGAGAGAGACAATGCCCGGCATAGCTCTTTGACCGTACCTAATTATTCGCAAGCCTTTTTAATCCATAAGCTATGGTTTACTTCTTAGAAAATTATGGCACTTTGGTTTTAAGTACCCTTACTGTTGCAGTAAACCTAAGTACTCGTTAAACTAATTCTATATAAATAGATAATAAATGTGATATTTTTAAGGAGACTTTTTCGTGTAATTCCAATCAGGCAAATGGGAATTTGATTAGTCTGCAGGTTTGCTGTGGTAGGGGAATTTACTTTATGCCCTTTTACATAGTATATGGAGGGAATAATGTGTTCGTACAAATGTTGAAATTAAAAACTGTTTACGAAGTGGATGGATGTGTACTGAGCTTAATATCACAAATATGTGATCAGTAATGATGAAATTTGGTATATTTGTATTAATTATTAGTATATCCATGTTTATTTATTTATCTTAAATTTGATATTCATGGGACGTTTTCTTATAAACTTTCATACAATAATTGACGGTTTTATTTCCATCTGTAACCTATATTTATGTTAGCCTATATTTTATTACTTATTCGTTAATGAGTTTAATCAGCAGTTTAATCCCAATCCATATTGATTGTAAGTGAGTATCATAAACTACTATGTGCTTATATTGCACAATCGTGCAACGGCTATATTTAGCACACAAGTTGAGAGCAATTACTAGAGAGCAACTCATGCAATAGATACAGTACTTTAAAGTTGCTAATCAAAATAGATTTTGGTATGATAATAATACTACAATTCTTAAATCAATTTAGAAATATTTCAAATAAACCTTACTAAAAAGAGGAGCTTTTCGCTCCCTTTATCAATAGTATAATAGTAAATATAATTTCTATTACACTTTTTGGTCATGCTTTAGGTTGTACTATTCCTATAACTGTTAACAAATGGTTTCCAAATAAATGTTTTCCAAAATGAAAAAGCTAATTCCACAAAATGGTGGTTAGTTATAACAGTACAATACCCTATAAGTGGTCAAGGATGTAGGCTTCTGTATAAGAGGAATATAAGCTGAAAATTTTTTAAGACTAGCTAAAATATTTGTCCAAAACGATAAAAATTTAAGTAAATCAAGAGATCGATGTTACAGAGATCAGTGTATAAACAGTTCTCAACTTGTATGGGCCCAGAAATATAATTGACTGATCTCATGTTCATTGTTCAAATAATTGATATTATAATATTTAATATGCTGGTTGATTAAGTATAAGGAATAGTTTATCTTTTTGAAAACCACTGGTATGCCACCGATTTAAATCAATAACAAAATAACTACAATAAACAAACTATACTTTCATGGTACTGTGTTTTTAAACATATTTAATATTCTATAATCTACGAGTATTCCAAGGGTAAGAATAGTTTTAACTAAGTTGTCAGTTAGGATGAATAAGGTATCAATTAAAAGTTATGGTATAAATATGTTTTAACCGCATAAAACACTTATTTATACTTTATTAGGATATAATTTTTAAGCAACAAGTAGGATATTAAAGACCAAATAAATCTGTCCGCAAAACACACAAGACTGATAGAAGTCATTAAAGAATCAATGTAGTAGATTTATCTGGAATGTATGACTTGGTAACCAAACCAGCGCGACTAATGGCTATTCTTCTGTTAATGTGTAAACACATTAACAAAACTACAAATATAACATGTTCAAAATTTACCATCTTAAACTATTTGTTAATAGGATGAATAACTATGTAAAATTAATTATCTTTATAAAATATTGTCCTTAAAATAAATATGCAGTAAAAATATATAGCAAAACTACAACAAAGCCAAATGTATGCCAACTTATAGAGTAGTAAAATCATCTATTATACAGGGTGTCCTACGTACGGTGTCTCATTTAATTGCGGAAAACGGCTCAACGTAAAAGGATTAAATACAAATATTTCCCGCTAAATTGACCCCAGAAAATAACGATAAAATGATCAGGGTGTGCCAAAAACTGAGGGTCACTAGTTCCAATCTCGGAGTTTTCAAATGTAAACATATGTCGTGTTTACATCATTTCGTATTTAGTAGACAACAATTTTGGAGAAAACAGAAATTAATAATTATATTTTTCCGTTCCAAAATTGCGGCAGTTTTTTGGGAAAAATCT